ACGCTTCTGCTTTGCTGACAACTAGCAAAAAGAAATGTCAGAGTTTCTGTAATTGGGAAACTGATGGGTCAGCTGTTTCTGCATTCTGTGGAAGATTCAAGAATATAGCTAAGAAGCATGTACAGGAGGTCTTTGTTTCATTTCTGTCAATGTCTTTAGCATCTCCACTGAGCTATGTCATTCTGCTCTATTTTCCTTATCAGAATTTATCCCATTACATCACCACATGATGCCATTCACTCAACCCAACTACTCCTGGATCTCTCCATGAAATAATCCTGTAATGGGTGTTATGTCCATATTACAACTGAAATAGTTTAGTAATGCAGGAAAAGAAGGAATCTAGTGATGTTCTCTGATTTTTTTAATTTCTAAAATCAAGAGCCTTTAGAAAAATTTAAAAACAAGTAAATCTCTCTCTATCGCTTTCCAACTTTCTACCATTCTTTCTTCCCCAACTCACTCTACCCCATCCCAGAGAGCTCATGCTTCTAGAAAAAGCCCCAGTAGTATCTTAGCTCTCAGCAGTTTCCAGCACTAATTACATTTTAGAATAAACTAGGAATTTTTAAAAAATTATTTTGAGACAGAAAGAGAGAGAGAGAGAGAGAGAGAAGGAGAGGAAGGGGGAGAGAGAGAGGGAAAGAGAAAGAAAGAATAAGCAGGGGAGGGGCAGAGAGAGAGGGAGAGAGAGAGAATCCCAAGCAGGCTCTGTGCTATCAGCACAGAGTCAAACTCAGGGCTGAAACTCACCAATGGTGAGATCATGACTTGACCCAATATCAAAAGTTGGATGTTCAACTGACTAAGCTACCCACATACTCCAGAATAACCTAGAAAATTTTTAACAAAGCAAATTTAATTGGTCCTAAATGGCAGTTAACATTGTTCATTTTTAAGGTTCAACAGGCAACTTCCATTTTAGTCATTGCCAACCACTCAACCCAAACTCTAGTTGATGGATTTCAAAAATTTAAGGAATATTTTCCAGGGTTAGACAGGAAGAAATATAATAAAATCATGTTTATTTCCTCTTAATAAGTAAAAGGATACAAAAATAGTAAAGTAACTCAAAAAGGTGAAACTCATTAAAAAAACCTGTAAAGTTCCTTTTTTTTTTTTTTTAAATCCCATTACTACCTTCAAACACATTCTGTATGAACTACTACCTCTACCCCTTTGACAACACTCTTGGATAAATTCCATAGCTCTGTGGCCACTTTTAGGTATTAGAATCTCACTTTTCTCATGTCCCCATATCATAAAGGACTTGTAAAAAAAGGATTCTTCTAAGGGGAAAGAGGATAAATTCCTCACTAAGTCCTTCCTATTTTCTGTATTCTTCCGCACCAGAGCGGGAACATGGGGTGAGTGAATAAAGGAAGAAAGGCAAAAATATAAAAACAAAAGCAAAAACAAAAAACAAAAAAACCCCTGTACCACCTGGATATACATACTGACTGACCTCCATGCCTTCCATTGTGGCAGGCCTCCAAAAGCTGCCATAATTATGGGGTGTGATTGTAGGTTGATATTGACTTCTGAACGGATCAGTTCCCAGATTGATGCTCCCTTGAGTTGATTTCTTACAGACCTATCCACTTAGTTCCCAACACTATCTAGAAGGACCTCACAGCAGGCAGCTCTACAGACAGAGTCCCGTCAACACTGCTCAAAAACGTCACATTTCACAGCCTGGGAATTATTTTTTTAGTTTATTTATTTTTGAGAGGGGGAGAGAGGGAGTGTGTGTGAGCCGTGTAGGGGCAGAGAGGGAGAGGGAGAAACAGAATCTGAAGCAGGATCCACGCGCCAAGCTGTCAGCACAGAAACTGATGCGGGGCTCGAACTCACAAACCACAAGATCATGACCTTAACCGAAGTCAGACGCTTAACCAACCGAACCACCCAAGTGCCCCCATGGCTTGGGAAATTCTTACCTTCAGATGTTACGAGTGCTGCTATTCTGCCAAGGCTTCCTCTATGTGTATTTTGGTTCCTAGGCTTAAGCCAGGAATTTCTAATTTTGTTCCTTTCCTCCCTCACCATATTGGGGGTACGTACTCATTCCGATGGGACTGAATTAAGAAAGCATCCAATTGGCAGGAGACACCAGCCTCCTTTCTTAAAAGCATCCTCAACACTAGCAAGATCGTCTTAGGGTAGTCTCTTTAGATTTAGACACAGCAATAGTTGTTTTTCCAACATTGTTTCTAATCTCATTTCTTTCTGCAAAGCAACTCCACTGGGGTCTATTATATATAGTAAATTACAGCATTTTAATATGTACGGTTCAACAATTTAAAAAAGATACACTGCCATCACAGAAAATAGTTCTACCATGCCTTTTGTAGATGTGGTATTAACTATTTCCTTAATGCCATTTTGCTGGTTTACATCATTGTTCTATGGATAGTTAATATATAAGATAAGTTGGGCAAAGCTTATAGGAGAATTGTTTGTACTACTTTTTCAACATTGCCTAAGTCTAAAATTATTACAAAATAAGGTATCAAAAAAGAAGTCAAACTAAATCTAAAAAGAAAAATTAAAATGCCAATTCTTGGAGGATCATTTTTATAAGCTATTCATTTCAGCAAAAACACTAGAATGTTTTGATCCTATTTACCCATGAAGTTTTTAAAAACAGATTCTTTTATTTATTTTTGATCACTCACATGTAATGTATAAGTTAATGTTTATTGTTTTGGGTATAAAAAAGGCTGAAAAATACTGAAATGTGTTGCAGTGCAGAAAAGGACATTACCTTTAGAATTAATGTCCAACTGATTTCTTTAAAAATATTGTACTGTTTTTGATAACCCAAGAGGACTAAATATAACCTTTACAAAACACACTACTTTTGCAGTTTCAGATAATTGACAACCAGCTATCTGCAAATATATATTCTTATAAATCTTATATATCTATCATACATGAAAATGATTGTATGAAACAACATTTTAGCATATATTTCATAGTGAATGTGGTTTATATTGAATTAAATACAATTATTCAGATCCAGAAATCAGTGAATTAAATTACATTAAACAAGTTAAAAAGTACACTGATTTCCCTTTCTCAAACATCAAATGGGTGTGTACTCACAAATAGATATAAAACTTATTGCAAAATATGTGCCATTTAATAAAGTTAAATATTTAATAATCTAATACAAATATTCTCATTTTAAAAGAGATACATACATACATTTTACATAATTATTTAAATTAGAGAAAATATTCAAAGAAACAAATTAAAAAGTACATTGATTTCCCTTTCTCAAACATCAAATGGGTGTGTATTCACAGATATAAAACTTAATGAAAAATATGTGCCATTTAATAAAGTTAAATATTTAATAATCTAATACAAATATTCTCATTTTAAAAGAGATACATATATACATTTTACATAATTATTTAAATTAGAGAAAATATTCAAAGAAAATATAAAATTTTACTTATATTTCTCTCCAACTTACACAGCTAAGTCAATTGCATACAGTTCTTTCCATATATAAAAGTATTACATTTTTATATCTTACAATTGAGGAAATCTAAATACTAAAAATAAGTTTAAAGACATATATCCAGTTATGTACAAAAATAACCATAGGTCAACTTATAGTTTCAAGTTTACTTTAAAAATCATTTAAGCTGTGAAAAAAATATACTATGAAAAAATTGTTCTTAAAATAGCGTATCAAAACATATAATCTAGTTGATCCAAAAGTATAAATAATGATTATAAATTACAGTAGTGTTGACACTGCTCTGTCATAAAAGGAGGTGTTCTTTGTAAATATGTGTAAGAATCTGACTTCCTTCAAGTGCCAAAATTATTTTCACTTTACCCATTTTCATTAAAAAGTCTGTAAAAGTGTAATATCTTATAAAATTGAGTACACTGAACACAGTGAAGCCCTTGCCAATTATTAAGTGACTTGTCTATCAAATATATGGATATATAGGGTGATTTCTTCTACTCTCTAAATTAAGTATGAACTTCAACATATTTCTTAATATGTTGTTCACCGATCTATTTCCTCCACATTCTGAGAAAACAAAGTAGGCTTAAATCTTAGCTAAAACAAATGGAGTGTTATAATGGTATATGTGAAATACTTAATCTTTCAATAAATGATCAGTTAAAAAGTAGACTTTAATGGTTTAATCAAACAACACTAATACATGCCTATTTTGAGCAAAGTATTATTTTAGATGCTATAAATAAAAAATTGGTGATAAGTTTTTAAAATTAAAAAAGTTAAATTACTGAGCATATAAATACTGATCAATAGTTTCTTAAGAAGTCTTTTCAATAAAATGTACCTAAGCCATTAAAAATCTTTTCATATATAATTGGCACTCTACTGAAGTTGATATTTCTCCTGGAATACATATAATTGAATAACACTATCAAAGAATCACAAAAGGGAAGTGTTAAAAATAAGAAATATTAGCAAATTACTTCCTGGAATTCTTGAAGTAAAGTGAAAATACATATACACAATGCTATTCATAAATTCACCATATTCAGGGACACAAAGAAGATCATCAACCTATGTTCTAATAGTTCAGTAACCTTTTGTAATGAATAACAGACTAGTGTATATATATTTAAAAATAAAGTAGCTAGTTTTAAATTCATGAGTTTTCAAGAATAGTTCTCAAAAATTATCACATAATTTGGTTAGTTTAAATTTTTATACCATAAATTTTCCAAATAAGCTCAAACTACTTGTAATGATAATTAAACTAAAACAAGTTGCAAGAAGAATAAAAATATCACTTTGTTTTTAAAATGTAAACTTTTAACCAATAACTGGCTTTTCATCTAATTTAGTTTATTAGTTTTTTATTTCACACTTATACAATGAGAAGTCTGTGTGTGTGTGTGTGTGTGTGTGTGTGTGTGTGTGTGTGTTCTGGGGTTTTTGGTGGGTCCTGAAGGCACAAGAATGTTTCTTAAGTTAAAACAAAAACAAAACAAGTTCATAAATGTACAGATAACACATTTAATTATAAAATACCAACTTTTAAATATGATTGTCCATATTGGGTGGATAATGCTGCAATGGCAATGTGTATTCTTACAAATGAAGGCCAATTTTCCAGTTGTAAAATGGTCTCTTTCTTTTATCCTTCATTTCCTGCATTGCTGAGATCACTTTCTACTGAAACAGTCACAACTGCATTCTGATTTTGAAATGATACATCTGGGTCTAATGGTGGTGGCTTATACAAAAAGACTGCACACCCATTGAAGAAAATGGTGATAATTTTACAAGTAACACCTAAATATAAAAGCAGAAATTAATCATGCATTTGGGTCTTTAAGTATTACAAAAAATTAATTATCACTGAGAAATTCTTCATGAATAGAAACTACTTTAAAGAAGAGGATCATATAGGCATTACATTTCTGTGTTTTAAGTTTTACAGAGAAAGGTGATATTTTTCAGTAAAATATTTCTATACAGTTCAATGAACTAGGCTTCATTTTTTTAAACTTATTTATTTATTGTGAGAAAGACACAGGGAGGGGGGTAGAGTGAGAGAGAGAGCGCGCACATGCAAGTGGGGTCGGGGTGGGGCAGAGAGAGATGGAGAAAAAGAATCCCAGCAGGCCCCACATTGTCAATGTAGAGCCTGATGTGGGTGGGGCTCAATTTCACAAAACATGAGATCATGACCTGAGCCAAAATCAAGAGTGAGATGCTTAACCAACTGAGCCACCCAGGTGCCTGTTTCTTTCTAAATAATAAAATGTACAATAACTATTCTTTTCTTGGTTATGATTGTAAATTCTTATAAAATAAGAATTAAAGATAATTAAGTTCATGTTTCATTTCTGACTTTATTAACATATTGTATGTATAAAAATTGCAAGACATGAAGTCAATGACAAAATAAAATAGTTTACAATATCCTTGAATCTAAATAACTTGTAGAATTTTCATGTCCATGATGAAAAATAATTCTTAAAAATAAAAAAAGACTCTGGGGTTCTTAAGAGAAAGTTTCCATGAAATAGATCATATTGAATACTCAGCCAAATTTAAGTATCAGCTAAAAATAGGAAACATTGAGACTGACTTCACAAACTTTGTTTTCAAAGAACTCTGATTCTGAACTTGGCTACAAGAAGAGAAACTATTTCTGGTCAGAGCATAAACATTTAAGTCATGGTTGAATAAATTAAAGGACCTCACAATGTAGTTTTTGTAGTACCTAATTTGTATTAGCCATTAGTATTTTATTCAAAATGCATATTTGAAAAACAGGAATTCTCACTGAATTAAGCATTTATAGATTGATAGGAGGAATAATTCCATAAGTATTATTATCACAATGTTTTTAGAAAATTTAAAGGTATGGATGTTCTGGGGAAAATATTCTCATATTCATCATAGAGTAGGAAAAGGAAAAAATTCATTATCTGTATCTTTTGGTCAAAAAGTATAAGCATAACCAATAAAATAATTTTTTAAACATAAAACACAGTAAATAAAAATGTTCAACAAGTAAATGTGGTGGAAAGATTAATTTTGCCTAGTCAATATTTACTCTATTATATTTTTGGATTTATGTATTTATTTTTTCAGTGGACATTTTATTATTCTGTCATTATAAATTTAGACATCATTCTCTAAGTTTAAACACATTTAAGATTAATAAGCAATCCTGATGCATGTGCCAAAATACAATCGTAGTTAAAATGAATTGCACAATATGTAAATAAATGTCTCTTTTTTATTGAATTGTAATTGGCATACAGTTTCTATTAGTTTCAAGTGTACAAGAATCATTTGATATTTTTTAACATTATGGAATGATAACTACAATAGGTCCAGTTACCATCACCACATGAAGTTATTACAGTATTATTGACTACAGATCCTATGCTGTATGTTACAACCCTGTGACCTATTTTATAACTGGAAGTTTGTACCTTTTATGCCCCTTCACCTATTTTGGCTTGTCCACTCTCTCCCTCCCCTGTGTCAACTACCAGTTTGTTCTCTGTATCTCAAATCTGTTTCTGGTTTGTTTTGTTTCTTTTACTTTGGTTTTTCAGATTCCAAATATAAGTGAATCATATGTTATTTGTCTTTCTCTACCTGACTTATGTCATTTAGCATAATACCACATACGTCCATTCACGTCCATTCATGCTGTTTCTAATAGCAAGATTTCACCCATTTTATTCCTGTGTAATGTTCCACTGTATATACAGAACACATTTTCTTTATCCATTCACCTATCAATGGTGTGTTATGCATATATCTTAGCTACTATAAATAATGCTGCAATGAACATAGGGGTACATATATTCATTCAGTATTGTCATTTTCTTTCTTCAGATAAACACCCAGAAATACTCAGAGGTAGAATTACTAGATCATATTTAGTTTAGAATTAATAGATTTATTTTTAATTTCTTAAGGTACCCCCCCGCACTATTTTCCATAGCAGCTACATCAGTTTGCATTCCTACTGACAGTGCATGAGAGTTCCCTTTTCTCCAAATCCTCACTTTTTATTTCTTCTTTTTGATAACAGCCATTCTGACAGGTGCAAGGTGACAGCTCACTGTATTTTTTATTTGCATCTTCTTCATGATTAGTGATGTTAAGCATCTTTTCATGTGCCTGTTGCCACATGAATATCTTCTTAGGAAAAACGTCTCTGACTAGCTTTTAATCAGGTGTTTCCTTTTTTTGTTGTTGTTATTGAGCTGTATGATTTCTGTATATATATATATATCAACCCCTATTGGACATCTCATCTCCAAGTATCTTCTCCCATTAAGTTGCCTTTTCATTTGTTGATAGTTTCCTTCACCGTACAAGAAAAGCTTTTTAGTTTAACAGTCACTTTATTTATTTTTGCTTTTGTTTCCCTTGCCTGAACTGACTCATCCAAAAAAAATATTGTGAAGGCTGCTGTCAAAGACCTTACTGTGTGTTCTTCCAGGAATTTTATGGTTTCAGGTCTTACATTTAAGCCCTTAATATATTTTGAGTTTATTGTTGTGTATGGTGTGAGAAAGTGGTCCAATTTCAATCTTTTGCATTTAGCTGTCCAGTTTTCCCAGCATCATTTATTGAAGTGACTGTATTTTCTCCACTATTATTTTCTCACTTCCTTTGCTGTAGGTTAATTGAGCATATAAATATGGGTTTACTTCTCAGATCTCTCTAGTGCCAATTGTAAAAGGAATTTTTTTCTTAATGTCTCTTTCTCATAGTTTGCTGATTAGTGTAGAGAAATGTTAACTGATTTCTGTATATATTAATTTTGTATTCTGCAACTTTACCAAATTCACTTATTAGTTCCAATAGTTTTTATGGTGGGCTTCCAATACTATGTTGAATAGAAGTGATGAGAGTAAGCATCCTTGTCATGTTCCTGATCTTAGAAGAAAAGCTTTTAGCTTTTTACTGTTGAGTATAATGTTAGGTGTGGGTTTTTCATATGTCTTTTATTATGTTGACATATGTTGCCTCTTTACCTACTTTGTTTAGAGTTTTTATCATAAATGGATGTTGAATTCTGTCAAAGGCTTTTTCTGCAATTATGGAAATAATCATATATTTTTAATCCTTAATTTTGTCAACTTTGTGTGACACATTGATTGGTTTATGGATACTGAACTAACTTTGTATCCCTGAAGTGAATCCCACTTAGTCATGGCGTATGATCCCTTTAATATATTGCTGAATTAAGTTTGATATTTTGTTGAAGACATCTGTATTTATGTTAATTAGGGATATTTGCCTGTAATTTTCTTCTTTGTAGTGTGTTTGGCTTTAATATAAGGATAATGCTGGGCCAATAAAATGAGTTTGGAAGTGTTCCTTCCTCTTCAATTTTTTGGAATAATTTGAGAAGGATTAAGTACTAAGTCTTTAAATGTTTGGTAGAATTCACCTGTGAAGCCATCTGGACCCGGACCTTTGTCTGTTGGGTATTTTTTGATTACTGATTCAATTTCACTACTAGCAATTGATCTTATTCAGATTTTCTATTTCTTCAAGATTTAGTCTTGGAAGATTATTTTTCTAGGAATTTATTCATTTCTTCTAATGAATGTCTAATTTGATGATGTATAATTGTTCATAATATTCTCTTATGATCCTTTGTATTTCTGTGGTGTCCACTGTAATTTCTCTTCTATCATTTCTGATTTGATTTGTTTGGGCTCTCTTTGTTTCTTGACGGGCCTAGTTAAAAGTTTGCTGATTTTTGTTGATGCTTTCAAAGAACCAGCTCTTTGTTTCATAGATCATTTTTATTTATTTATTATTATTATTGTTTAGTTTCCTATTTCACTTATTTTTGTCCTGACTTTATTAGTTTCTTCCTTCTATGAACTTTGAGCTTTGTTTTCCTTCTTTTTCAAATTCCTTTAAATGTAAAGTTACATTGTTTGAGATTTTTACTGTTTCTTAAGAATGGCCTGTATAACAATGAACTTCCCTTTTACAACTGTTTTTTCGCTGCAACCCCAAATTCTAGAACATTGTGTTTCCATTTTAATTTATCTCGAGGCATTTTTTTTAATTTCTCTTTTGATTTCTTCTTTGATCCATTGGCTGTTCAGTAGCATTTTTTTATTATTTATTTTACTTATTTTTTATTTTAATTAATTAATTTTTAAATTTATATCCAAGTTAGTTAGCATATAGTGCTACAATGATTTCAGGAGTAGATTCCTTAATGCCTCTTACCCATTTAGCCCATCCCCCCCCACAACCCCTCTACTAACCCTCTGTTTGTTCTCTATATTTAAAAGTCTCTTATGTTTTATCCCCGTCCCTGTTTTTATATTATTTTTGTTTCCCTTCCTTATGTTCATCTGTTTTGTACCTTAAGTTCCTCATATGAATGAAGTCATATGATATTTGTTGCTCTAATTTCACTTAGCATAATAATACCCTCTAGTTCCATACATGTAGTCGCAAATGGCAAGATTTCATTCTTTTTGATTGTCAAGTAATACTCCATTGTATGAACATCTTTTGATCCATTCATCCATAGACGGACATTTGGGTTCTTTTCATACTTTGACTATTGTCAATAGTACTGTTATAAACATTGGGGTGCATGTGCCCCTTCGAAACAGCATACCCGTATCCTTTGGATAAACACCTAGTACTGCAATTGCTGGTCGTAGGGTAGTTCTATTTTTAATTGTTTGAGGAATCTCCATACTGTTTCCCAGAGTGGTTGTACCAGTTTAGTAGCATGTTTTTAAATCTCCACATATTTTGGGGCACCTCGGTGGCTAAGGTAGGGTAAGCATCTAGCTTTGGCTCAGATAATGATTTTACAGTTTGTGTGTTTGAGCCTCACATCAGGCTTTGTGCTAACAACTGAGTTTGGAGCCTACTTCAGATTCTGTGTCTCTTCTCTCTCTGCCCCTCCCCAGCCTATACTTTGTCTCTCTCTCAAAAATAAATAGACATTAAAACAAAATTTTTGAAATAAAAAATAAACCTTCACATATTTTGTGAATTTTCCAGTTTTCTTCTTGTAACTGATTTCCAGTTTAATACTTTTGTGGTCAGAAAAAATACCTGATATGATATCAATCTTCTCAGATTTATTGAGACTTGTTTTGTGACCTTGCATGTGATCTATTCTGGAGAATGTCCCATGTGCACTTGAAAGAATGTGTATTCTGCTGTTCTGGGATGGAATGCTCTGTATATATCTTTTAGGTTCATCTGATCTATTTAAGGCCATAGTTCCCATATTGATTTTCTATCTGGATGATCTATCTATTGATGTAAGTGGGGCATTAAAGTCCCCTACTATTATTGTATTACTGTCTATTTCTCCCATTACTACTGCTAATATTTGCTTTATATATTTAGGTGTTCTATGTTAGGTACAATAATGTTTACAAATGCTATTGGACTGATCCTTTTACCATTATGTAATGCCTTTCTTTGTCTTGTTATTTGTTTTAAAATCTATTTTGGCTGCGGTGCAGCTGGATGGCTCAGTCGGGGCATCTGAATGGCTTAGTCAGTTAAGCATCTTGAATCTTGATTTCAGTTTGGGTCATGACCTCACAGTCCATGAAATTAAACCCTAAGCTGGACTCAGAATGGAGCACAGAGCCTGCTTTGGATTCTCTCTCTTTCTCTCTCTCTCTCTCTCACTCTGGCCCTCCCCTGCTCATGCTCACTCTTTCTTTATCTTTCTCCAAATAAATAAATAAATAAATAAATAAATAAACTTAGAGTCTATTTTGTCTAAGATAAGCATTGCTATTCCAATTTTCTTTCCATTTTTATGGAATGTCTGTTCCATCCCTTCACTTTCAGTCAGGGACCATATTTAAGTTTTAAGTGAGTCTCTTATAGGTAATATAAACAAGGGTCTTGTTTTTTTTAATCCATTCAGCCATTCAATGTCTTTTGATTACAGAATTTAATTCATTTAGGGGCGCCTGTGTGGCTCAGTCAGTTAAGCAATCGACTTTGGCTCAGGTCATGATCTCGATTGTGTAGCACAATCCCTTCACTAGTTGAGGAAGTGCTCTTTATTTTTGGGATCCCTCCCAATTGTGGAGTTACTGTGTCTGGAGTCAGATCCTCAGCAAAACCATGTCTCTCCTTTTCCTATCCTACTTGACATGTCTCTTTTGTCTTTTGTTATAGAGTGCTGTGTCGAGTGCTAAGATTCTTTTTAGAAGATTATTTTATATGTACCTGTAAATTTATTGTGTCAATGGGAGGAGATGAGTTCAGGGTCTTCCTATGCCACCATCGTGAAACCTCTACCTCTATTTTTAATTTAAATATTTTAGGTTGTTTTTAATTTAAAAAATTTTTTTAAGTTTGTTAATTTATTTTATTTCTTTTTTTTATTTTTATTTTTTACAAATAGTTTATTGTCAAGTTGGTTTCCATATAACACCCAGTGCTCATCCCCACAAGTGCCCTCCTCCATGCCCATCTCCCTCCTCCCCCCCACACCCATCAGTCCTCAGTTTGTTCTCAGCATTCAAGAGTCTCTCATGGTTTGCCTCTCTCCCTCCACCGCAGCAATTTCTTACTTGACACATCCCCAAAAGCAAAAGAATCAAGAGCAAAAATAAACTATTGGGACCTCATCAAGATTAAAAGCTTCTGCAAGGCAAAGGAAACAATCCATAACACTAATTTTTTAATTTTAACTCTTGTAATATAGATGCATTGATCTACTTCTGCAATCTTAAACATCATTTATTGCTTAATCAAGACTATCCAAGATAGACTACCAAAGGCAAAAAGGGTTAAATATCATAGCTAACCTTCTAAACTATAAAAATATTTCTTACAACATGCCTCAGAGCCAAAAGATACTTCCCTACCTCAGCTCTAACTAAGTGTTTTCCAAAGCTCAGGTATCTAGATGACAATCATTCCAGAGAGATTTTTAGATTTCTCTTTTATCTTTTTGTTAGACTTTCAAAAAATTTTTTGACAGAAGTTGTTTTAAAAAATGATGTGATTTCATGAAAGCTAAAATGTTATTTCTCTTCTATTTGAGGCTGAGCCTAACAGATTCATTAAAGCCTTTCATCACATGCTGTGTTAACTGATCTCTATAGGACATCCCATAGGCATGGACTGAACATTATAAAACTTAAGTAACAAAAAGATTTTTTTTTCCTTTAACATTATCAATTTAATCTAAAGTTATCAAGAAATTACCACTTACTTATAGCTACTAGCATATGGGCCATCTTGATGTTATTATAAATCCAGCAGGCTCCTCTAGTTCCACATTCATTAATATCCCACAGAATACATGTGCTGTCTATTGTGATACCAAATATAATTGGTCCAGGTATTGTGCCTAGAAGAATTATATGTGAAATACACATCAGTAAAGATTACAGCCTACAGTTATAGGCTTTTACATACATGGTTATACATATATTTTATATAAATAAGACTAGGAATTAATCTGCACATATATAAAATAATGTACAAGTAATGTATAAGTTCATATAGAAGTAATAGGTATATTAAAAAGAAGCACAGATAAAACATTCTAGAATAATTATTATATACTTCTAATCAATTCAAAAATTCATTTTAATAAGAATATCTGGCATATATTAACATTTAGCTAAGTAAATATTTTAATTCACTGCTTTCCTAATCTAATGAATGCATTTGAAATTAGCAATTTTACTTTTAAAAATTCAAAATTATTGATGCACAACATAAGTGCTAAACTACAGTATATGTGTTACGGGTATGTGCATGCATGAAGAGTGCACATGTGCATGCACGCACACATACATATACACGCATTCATACTAACATGCTTAAGAATACTACCACCAACACACCCCCTCCCTCACATGAGGTCACAAGGCTCTAAACTTCCACATCTTGAAGAAGTTTCCAACTATTACAAATCAGATACACGAAGTGGTATTTCTTGGACAAAGATTTCAGCTACATCCAGTCTGTTTTTTCATGACCTGAAGTCTGACAAAATCAAAAGAGCACTGGATTTAGAAGAAGGATATCATTTTCCTATTCTCATTTTTACCACAAATTGTGTAACCATGGGCAAATCCCTGAATCTCCCAAAACCTTAAGTTATGCATATGAAAATAAGAAAGTTGGTCCAGGTGATTTCTCCTGCTCCTAACTTTTGGTTTTGGTTTCATAAGTTATCTTAATATTGTGGGCATAATATTGTGGAAATAATCACACACACATATAATTATATGTATAACATAGTATTTCTGTCCTATTTCTTTCTACATCTGGAACCTTACAAAATTTTCTATAAAATCTTTCTTCCATCAATTCTTAACTAGCCACAAATCTATGCGAAATTTTCACTGAAATATGTTAATTCATTATTTTTCATCGCTAATGCAATATAATTATGTCCCAAATGGAGATAAATGCTGGGAGAAAAGGAATTACAATAGTTATAAATATGATTCTATCACAATTTATGTTGATAATGGGTATTACATGAATAGGAAAATTTATCCTACTGTGCTCTATTAAAATTGTGTTGCTACCCCTATATTATATTTTAAAAAAAAATTTAAATGTCTTTTATTTATTTTTGAGAGAGAGAGAGAGAGAGACAGCATGAGCAGGGGAGGGGCAGAGAGAGAGGGAGATACAGAACCAAAGACAAGCTTCCAGGCTCTGAGCTAGTTGTCAGCAGAGCCTGATGTGGGGCTCTAACCTACGAACCATGAGATCATGACCTGAGCCAAAGCCGGACACTTAACCGACTGAGCCACCCAGGCACCCCAATATATATTTTAAATAAATATGATATACTCTTTAAAGTTATATTTGTAACAGAATTGGAAACAACAGTTAACCAATCAGGTAGGTGAAAACTAAAGTCATTATTTTCATATGTGATTCATAAATAATACTATATCTTAAATATTAGAAAACTACTTTCCTCAATGACAATTATGCAGTTATTGATGGCATTTAAATTATTGTCTTGGCACATTCCATAAGTGAACTAGCCAATAATATTGATGAACAAAAATTACCAACAGTCACCAATGAATTAAGAAAAATGACATACCAACTAATCGAAGCAGCATAAACTGTATTCCCAAAGCTAGGGACCGTTGCTTCTGATTAACACACCTAGAGATATCAAATACATATTAACTAAAAGTGGTTGCATAATATATTTGCTCTTAGAGCCAATTTATTTTTCTACCAACTTAGCATTCCTATATTAAATGCTATGTTATGTGCATGAAATAAACTATTTGTAACATGTTATACAGAGTTCAACCTAAGAAAAATGTTATATGAACTAAAACACTACAAAACACAGAGAAGAATCAAATAAAGTTTAACAAAAGTATTGAATATGAATTTTAACAAATTTAAAAAAGAAAGGAAATTCATTAGTAAGACTTATTTTTTGACTGTCCCTTAAGTCACAAGTCACATAACTTAAGTCACAAGCAAATAAATATTACTCTAATTCTTACTAAGTTTTGAGACAGAAATCATACATATGGGATCTAATTTGGGGTTTATAAATCAATTGCTGAGGCTCAATCTGATTCCACAATGATTCTTTAAGTAATAACTATCAAACATGAAATGAGACATGATGTTGGCACACAAGAGTTAGACAACAGATAAAGAGATCAACTAGTCTTTAAAAATAAACGTGTATTTGAAAACTGATATAATTTCCCAAAAATGAAGTTTTAAGAAACCATTTTCTCAATTCTCTAAATAATTCCAACTTCTACATAGGGTAATGTTATCAGACTATTTAATATTTGCAGACAGAATCTCCAAAACTTCCATTTGACAAAATTATGTGAAAAAGTGGTGAGTATCAGGGAATAAAAACTGAAGAGTAAAAAAGCTAGAGTTTGGTAGGAAAGACATAAAAAGGCTGATGAACTTACAAAATGGCAGATTTTGTTTTATCAGAAAAAACCCTGATAAATATTTTTATCAAGTGTTGTAGAAGGAAAAAGAGCAACTTGAAAGCTCAAGACACTGTCAAGAGCCCTGTGGCATCTATCCTTTCATCTAGTAGAGCATTGTTTACAGAAGGTTGAATATCACTGCACGTACTATCTAATGTACAATTCAGGTCATTCTGATTCTGACATATGTGGAATTAATGCACTGCATTTCCATCAAACTCAAACATGGTTGAATAGCTTAAATGGAAGCCTGATGAAAGAGTCAGAGAAGCTAAAGTCAAGTACATTCCAGATAGGCAATATTAAGACACTTTCACATACACGATCACATTTATACCTCATATATCTGGGATTCAATGAAGTAGCTTTTCCAATGCCATAGAAGTAACAATCTTTTAAGAACTGAATTAGTATTAGAACCAGCGGCCAATAAATGAACCAAATAAACTATTTTCTTTTCACTCAACATATCTGAGGGATGGCAAATTTCACAACATAATACATACCTTAGAATGGACACAGTTATAGGAGTACCAGCCATAAATGTAAAGATAATTGTAGCAAAGAAAATGCCAAGGAATATGGGCAATTTTGCACATCGACTTTCACATTTTCCAGCTTTAGCTTCAAAAATAAAACTTGCCAAAGTAGGGGTTATTTCTGTATTCCTTGCAATACAGGAACAATTGTAATATTCCTACAAATTTTAGACATGAAGATATTGCAAGTGCTTGTCTTGAAAACATATTTTACCACTGTAAGTTAGGTGATCTATAGACATGGCAATCATTTTACACAGTCTTAATCTCTACACAACAAATAATGCTGCAAAAGAGTAATTAACTCTTAAGAGATTAAGTAAGTGAAAATAAAGGACCATATTTATAAAGTAGAATCATCTGTATTTGAGTTTTGTATTCATTACTTCAACTTGTAAGCTATTATTGCTTCATGACTTATAAAATAAATTGACAAGAATATAACAATTACCTGACCTCATCTTCTAGACTACTTAAATAGATTATATTTATTTAAATAGTTTTCTTGCTAACTTTCTTTTCCGTTATAGAAGGCAAAGAAGAACACTATTGATACTAGTCTGAATGGACAAACACTACAATTTTAACAAATGCCACAGCAAAATTAACTAATATATCACAAGTCTCTAGAAAAAAAAGATGCTGCTTTCAAGTAAACAACTTTACTATCATCTTCTGAACTTTCTGTAATTGCTTTACTAAAAGCAAGTTCTATCCTTTCAAAGATGATATATTTATGACAATCAAAAGCTATAAGTTATTGTTCCATTACCCTGAAGGTTATTTCATATATAAATATATAAATAAGATTATTTAATATGTACTTACATATAAATTAATAATATGAAGTATTGAAAGGTAACATGTTAAAAGATTACAAAGTATTATTTTTGTAGGAAAAGAATTCAGAGTTTAGGGGCGACTGGGTGGCTCAGTTGGTTAGGCCTCCAACTTCAGCCTAGGTTATGATCTCACCATTCCCAAGTTCAAGCCCCACACTGAGGTCTGTGCTGACAGCTCAGAGACTGGAGCCTGCTTGAGATTCTGTACCTCTCTCCCTCTCTCTCTCTCTGCCCCTCTCTCCACCTCAAAAATAGATAAACATTAGGAAAAAAAGAATTCAAAGTTTAAAAAGTTTGTTAGGCATAATTACTTTTTAAATGTTTTTTCACACCTCAACTGCATTCTTATTATAAATCTTTTTACAAGTTTAAGGCCTCAAATAAGTCATAATAGAGCCATAGAAGTCAAAGGGAAATGGTGCTTTTATTATACTAAAGGCCAGACACCGTTTCGCAGTGCTAAAGCTAATGTAAGGTCACTGGTACTGATATAGGATATCAAAATATGCAGATGACACTGCCAAAATGGAGTATTACATACTCAGCAACTGGATATACCAAATAATGAAGAAGTATAGCCTTTAAGATTTTAAGAGAAAAGTATTTTCTATCTTGATGAAATTGTACACCTCTCTTAAATAAAAAAGTATACAATTTTACCTGCAATATACCTAGCTGTTACTAAACATCTGTTTTGTTGCTTGGGTCAATGTGAAATATAAGACTAATATTTCTCTGAACAAATGTGCATAGGTATTTACTATGTTATTATCAATGGACTTTGCCTATCTGAAACATTCCATAAGAAAAAAAAAATCCTGTGAAAAAAATGAGTTGTGACATGGACTAGATGGACATGAAAATGACAGAATAGAAAATTTGTAAGCCAAAATAACTTTCTTTTCCTAAACAACCTCTAGGAGACACTTTACTATTTAAGATGGAAATTACAGTATTTGGAGAAAAATATAAATATCAAAATAACCAATACCATTTCAAGTGTGCTCTGGGTATTAGATTTTTTTTTTTTTCCTTGGGGTTCCTTATGTAGGATAGTATTTGTGTCTAACATTTTTAGTATGTGAATAAAACCTTACAAATATCTCTTTGTTGTAATCTTCGAATTAGAATTATTCAATAGCCCTTAGTAATCATATTTTATACACAAGAAAATGCTACCTACATACCTACCTCTCAAAGTAATTGTTATCTATCTTCCAGGTAGCTCTGATTGTGTAACATGCATCATGCTCAATTGTGGATTTGATCCCATATAAGTAATATTACAAACACCTAATTTTCTCAATCTGTTTTAAAACTAAAGCAAGCACAGATGTCTACTGGTTTGAAGGCATGATAACCCTCAGATCTGAGATCTTAAAAATCTTCTTGAGGTCTTTTATTTTTCATAGGTACTTTATGGTAATAGTTTTATAGTTTATGGTAATCAGTTTTATCCCAAGCATTAAAACTGCACATATGGCACCCAAGTCCATTAGGTCTACTATGATTCACCACAGATATTTTTTTCAGACACATTTTTGAATGTTCTTAGATGAGCATTTTAAAATCTATAAGCTAGGTAATATCAAAAAAATGTACAATATTTCTCATATCTTCTACCCCCTGCAGGAAGATCAAATCCTAGCATGTTCAGATAAACTTCTAATGTATTTATTACACACAAAATCACTACAGATATGTGTGTATATGTATATGTACATATGTTTACATGTTTATGAACATATAAACGTGTACAACCATATATACACACAAGCAATCCATGTTGGTTTTTGAAGAAATATGAAATAATTGTATAGATTCTTTCAATTAGCTATTTCTACTTATTTATGTACAAATCTTTTCTTACAATCTTAAACTTATTTTTATATGGGAAAAGAAATGCCATTTCACTAGTCTACATTTCAAATATTCAAGATTGTACTGTTTTGTCATATAATTCTTACATATCTAATTCATTGTGGTTTCTTATAATATCACAGTATATATTTCTCTAAGCTCTTCTTAAAGTTATCACATTATGTATTAATCCATAACATATTATGTACTATTAATAATCTGAATGTTATTTTTCCCAAAACTCTTAAATTAATTAAGATGAAATCTTTAGATTGTAGATATAGTCCAGTAAAATTCTACTGGATCCTCTTAAACAATTTAGCTCTTAAAAAATCATATCTAGGTAAACTAATATGCATTCTAATCTAGAATTAAAAGTAAATATGTACTTACGAATGATTTGGGGTATTTTAAAATGAATCCATGGTGCATCAAATAAAAGCAGTAAATATTTATGACGTTTCTAATATACAATTGTAATTAGTAAGAATAGAAGTTACCTGACTTCTAGGGGCCTAAAGTATGGCTGAGAAAAAATTTTAAAATGCAAAAAGGTAAATAATATTTCACTACTATAACAGCAGTGATGTTACAAGGATGTATGTGAATAACTGTCAAATTGATTTTTCAACATTTAATGCATCTGAAATATAAAGGAAGAAGAATCTTTTTCAACCTGAGTGCTTAGGGTCTTTAAAAGAATTATACACACACACACACACACACACACACAAACACACAACACACACACATACATACACACACACATAATTAAGAACACTTTACATGATCACTAGAGTTTGTGCATCTAACTTGATTGAAACTTTATGCTAGCTTCTGAATGGAGGAGGTGGGCCAGCAAGGGAAGAACAAATAGGTACTACATAACTCCACTAGAGGGATAAAGAAGGTCATCCATAAATGTACAAACGCACTATCTCATGAAGGTAAAGCAGAAACCACAAGTTACCTTTGCCTGTCTTTTTAAAAGAGAATCTTTACAACCTGCAAAGCAGGGAGAGAAATACTGGACTCCATCTCCTCCACAGACAGGATAATAATATGATTGAAAGCAGTTACAATCCGCATTACAAGGAGCGGTCAAGTTTCCCAGTTCTCCTGTCCTGTCAACAAGAAATGAAATAAGGCAAATTATCTATGTTGGAACTTTCAATGAACAGTTCTGAAGCACTGCTAGATCTTGCCCTTCAGTCATTTTTTTACTCACTCAACACATACTTAATTACTGAATGAATAAAACAAATAAAATGTCTTCCTTTTCACACAAAATTTATTTCTTGTGGGAGAAAGAGTCAGCATATTATATACATTATATAATACAATGTATCTCAGTGAAAAGAAAAACAGGTAGAGTAAGCAAATAAATAAAGCAGGGTTTCTCATTAGGTACTACATTATTCTTTCCAGGGGTAGCAGCAAGGGGAGTGCTGGTTTTGTGGATCGTAGGATGCCTAAGAGCATCCCTGGCCTCTACTCATTAGATGCCAGTAGGATCCCTCACTTAAGACAACCAAAGTGTCTCTAGACATTGCTAACTTTCCCTGGAGTGCGGAAAATTTTAAACCTACAAGAATTAATAAAATTAATGCTATTCAACATACTTATTTTACCAGTGGGAAAACTAGGGCCCACAGGGATATATATAATATATCACCAAATATTCCTGATACCCAGGCTCGGTTTTGTTCCATGCTGTCTTTTAACAGGATGCAATATCTCTGGTAACATAAAGGGTTACCCTAACCAAAGATACTTCTCTGATCCCTGTTTGTTCATTCATTCAACCAATAAAAATTGAGCAAATAGCTAGGTCCTATGCTAGGTATCAGGAATACAAAGCTGAGTAAGGTAGTTGCTGTCCTCAAAGATTTCACAGTTTAGGAGTATAGATTAACACAGAAAATTATACACTAATATGGTGAATATGCTTACAGGCATTTGCAAAGTGTACTTCAGAAGCACTGAAGAAGGACAAGCTAAAATTTAGGTGAGAGTTTTTAGGAGCTACTGCCTGAGAAAGTCTTAAAGGATGAGTTAGCTGGATAAAAGGGGAATGTGAACGGCACTTCAGAGAAGCTAGTACAAAAGTGTAAAGGTGAGATATAGCTTCCTATATGGAGGAATATGAATGATTATGGATGATGTCTGAGGCAGTGAGTGATCAGAAATGTAAGTGGAGAGGGGCCAGGGACCAGATAATTGAGGGCCTTATGGGCTTGTTAAAAACAATGGGTTTTAACCTATTTTTGAATGGTAGTCAAAGTATTTTACACTGGAAAGTGATACTGCCAAAAGCACATCTTAAAGAAATAATGCTAGGAGTGACAGAGAGTATAAACATGAAGGAAGAAGACCTGTTACAATATCCCAGACCGTAAGTTATGACAATTGACAATATATAGGAGAACAAAAATAGAACATTTGATTAAAGGAGACATATTTGGTAAGTATTTTGGCTGATTCTATATATTCTGGATGTAGAATCACCTTAAACATTGGGGGTAAGATTTGGTGTTTGAAGACGGGTATAGGAAGAAAGAGTCAAGAGTGACTCCTACTGTCTAACTTGGTGTTTTGGTAGAGAAAGAGAACTTAGTTTGGGGGAAGACATGATGGATATGATTTTATACATAGTGAGGTTAAGAGTCTCAAAATTTGGTGAAGAAATAAGGCCTGAAGCTAGATATCTGATATCATTTGCATATAAATGTGGCTGAAACCATGATAATGATAAGATTAGACATATAAGGAGCATAGAGCAAGAGGGTACAGAGGTCTCAAGTGTCCATTTCATGAATACATAGTAAGCTCCAATAATGTGCTAGGCTCTACTCAAAGTGTGGAAACATATCTAAAAAGAATAAATAGAGAAAGGAAGAGAGGTAGGAATTGTATCATGAGGTAAAGGGGAAACTATTATTAGAAAAATAGTCAACACTTGCAAAGTTTATTAAATGGTCTGAATATATATATTATTTTTAAAATACATAAAATATTTTAACATTTCTGAATATTTAAAATATACACCTGTATAAACACACACACCCAGATATATGAGTTAAACACTTATCACAAATAATAGAATTTAAATATCAATTTCTTATTTGGATCCCAACTATTCTATAATTATATCTCTCCCATATGGAAAGATTTCCCTAAACCTATTACAACATCTTAATAGGTATGTATCTTTAAGGTGCTGTTTCAGATGAGAAAGGCAATTCTAGCTGTTTCAGATGAGAAAGGCAATTCTAGCCATAGATCTGATAAAGAAAAAATATTGTGTGTACTTACTACAGTATTTCATATTTCACAAGATTCTAAGTATAATGTAAAACACAAATCACTATTAGCAACACTGATTACCAGAAGAGACCCAAAGAGCCTGTAGATGGTCAAGGCAATTAGAACAGTAAGAAGTTTTAATAACTAATATATTTCTAGAAACGGCAGTCTGCTTTCAACTGCTGTATCCATATTAAACATTTAATAATGAATTCATGTAAAATATTACATATATTAAAAACATACCCTGAAATAATTAGTGTGGTTAATCTTAAGGGTATTTTTTAAAAGTCTTATTTATTTTTGAGAGAGAAAGAGAGAGCATGTGCACACAAGCTGGGGAGGGGCAGAGAGAGGGAGACACAGAATCCAAAGCATGCTCCAAGTACTGAGCTGTCAGTACAAAAGCCTCACACACGACTTGAACCCACGAATGGTGAGATCATGACCTGAGCTGAAGTCAGACGCACAACTGACTGAACCACCCAGGTACCCCAATCTTAAGTTTTTTAATATATATTATTTAATAGGATTTTAAATGAAGTTATCAATAAGCCTAATTCATTAACTCATAGTTGTAAAGCTGTTTTTAACCACCTGTGATTACATGGCAAGTGCAAATTCTCTGCACCACTCTACTAGAAACCTTAAATTTTCATAACTTCTTTTTCCTGGTAACTAATGAGGTATTTCTCCTGCTTCTTAGTCTATTCTTCTTTCCATATATTACTTTTTCATGTTTCTTAGATGAGGTTACAGTGAGTAAACTGTCCATGATATGGACATTTTAATATGCAGTGTACAGAGCTAAAATGAAGAATTTAAGGGGCACCTAAGTGGCTCAGTCAGTTAAGCGTCTAACTCCTGATTTATGCTCAGATTATGATCTCACAGCTCCCATTGGAGCTGCATGTTGGCCTCTGCACTGACAATGTGGAGTCTGTTTAGAATTCTCTCTCTCCCTCACTCTCTGGCCCTCTCCAACTAATGCACATGGGTGCATACTGTCTCTCAAAATAAATACATAAACTTAAAAAAAAAAGAATTTGAGGCCACAGAAGAAAAAAATCTGACAATGTTTACCTCCTTGACAACATTAAACTCTATCTCCATCTATATTTATATCTAAACAAACTCACACACCTCAAACTGACACCTTCTGTCTTGTCTTTCCTTCCGATTAGGCTAAGGGCAGCTTATCTGGTAGGAACTCTTGTTTAAGGTAGAAAATAGCACAGAGATTCACATCCACATCATTCATTTTTCAAGGTAATGAAACTAGTGGTAAACTATCCAGAACTTTCTGTTCTAAAAGGAATATACAAAAAAACAAGTGGTTTCTTGAGATACATTTGGGTAAAGTTTATAAGTGTAAAAGTCAGGTCTGCAGTGCTTACCTGTACCTATCTTTCAACATTTCCAGATACTTTTTTATTTACAGAAACATGACCTAAGTCCCATTCGAACTGATTCCTGAACCTACTAGACTTTACTTCCTAGCATTTATACCTAACATATTCCCTCTGCCTTTCCCTCTTCTCAAACCTTTATCTCTCAAAGCTCTTTGTACCCTTAAAAAGTGTGTAAATTCATTTATTATACCATAAAACTTTTCCTGAATCTAAGCAAAAGATCCTGAAAATCTCTCCTTCTTTTGAATTTCATAGCCCTTTGTATATCTCTCATTACCTAAGGCACTGTTCATTTACCATTTTCTTTCCCAATCTCTCCTGCTACATTGTAAACTCCTTTAGAGCAAGGATTTTTCAGCAGGGGGATGTAGTCAAAAAATGTTGAATGAATGTAATGGAGCTGAACTTAACACTGCTTTAGAATGCTCAGCATTTCATTAATGTAAAAAAAAAAAAAAAAAAAAAAGACATGAGCAGCAACTGCAAATCACAATCATTACTGGAAAACTCATTCAAACAACGTAGACTCTATTTAGGTTATCTGAATGCCATATTCTACAAAACTGTGCCAAACTGTGGAGTCCTTGACCTGGAAGGCCATCTCCCTCACCAGCCTCAAACACATTCAGTGAAACACTTAAAGCAGCACTGCAGGCTATGAATGCACTGCTGTGCAACATCCTCCAGCTTGATCCCCTAATTCATGACTTAGGATTTCAAAACTAAACATACAAGGCAAAACTAAATACCCAAAGACAAAATGGTCAAACCAATTAAAGGTGGAAACATGTTTATAGGTCATGACAAGAAGTCACTTATTTCTTTACAATAAACACAAGTTTCTAAAGTGGACACAATAATCATTAGTATAACCTAGGATGAGGCTCATTCTAATTTCTCTCCAGATTATTTTCAACCACCCAATACATGAATTTCACCATAGAGACATCTCCATTTTAAAAGACTTAAATCAATAGCAACATATGAAATTCTCCCCAGTATGTGAATCCCTTCAGGCCAAGATTCCGTTATTTTAATCTTTGTATCCCTGAACATAGTACCCAGGATAGAATACTTTCTCCTTAACTGCTCTCTGAATAAATACCCAACATTTAATAAGGTGTCATATTACTTAAGCTAACAACAAAAACCCTATATCTTCTTATAAAGGAAAAAGCCAATCTTTCATTATTTAATTTAAGAAAGAATATACTTGGAAACACACACATGGGTTTTTACTCTCATATTAATATAAAAAAGCACTGAAATATATTTACCCATTATATGATTCAGACACACCGGCAAATGGCTCATTTTCACAGTTGGCATAAACAAATACAAAACTCAGCACAAGAGCAACTAAAGATGTGAGCAAAGCAAACTTCATTGTGTTTTTACATGTCATTTTGAGTTTTGAAACAAGGACACCACCTAAAATCTGACCAAGAGCAGCTCCAGGAATTAAAACAGCTCCTGATGAGAAAGAAGACAAAGTGAGTGAGAAAACATACAAGTGTACTCAGTTACTCACATGGCAATTGGGAAACATCAAAAACAACCACCAGTAAGTACTATTTTAACATATGAATGATATCAAGCGATTTATAATGTTTTGAATATTAAGATCAACAAATATTCTCTTAGCTATATATATAGCCTCTGTATTTCTTGTTCATACAATAAACTGCCGAATATCAGAAAATCTGAAACTTTTATCAAAATCAGTAGTTTAAACTTCAAGAAGTGGGCTATCCAAAATGATGTATTATTCTAATGAAAATTTAGTGTAGTAAAGTAAAATTATTAGATTAAATTTGAACAAAGAAAATGGTTTACCTCCAAGGGTAGCTGCAAAGCTGGAAGACAATCCAAATTGATTTTCTATAAATTTAGGTAAAAATGTAGCAAATCCAGTAGTAATTAAGGCTTCTGAAGAAGTTGAAAAAACTAAACACATAAAGACAGTATTCCTCAACAAACTCTAAAGAAAAAATATAGTTCATCAAATGAATAACTATGATTATACTGCAAAATGTAACATTAGAATGGCAGCATGATGAAATGGCAAATTTTTAATAAATACAATATATTTATCTATAAAAGTTAAGCATTTCCTCTAGCATAAAAATGGAATATTAATAGCTTCATATATGCAACACTGAGAAAATTTATATGTGGAGCATGTAGAGAATTGACAGGTGATTGATTGAACAGCAGGGAGACTGTGTCTTTATCATTTGCAAAGAATGGGGTAAAGGAGATAAAAGCCAGGTTGGAAAGGTTCCCTTCTCCAGCCTACTATAAATGTCCATACATTAAATCTACCCCTTGTCTGAATTATTTTAGAGTGTTTTGAATTCCCATGTCTACTAAATGAAGAATTTGGCTATCAGCATAGATGAGAATGGTCTCTTAGTATCAAATTTGTATTGTTCTATGCGTAAAGGACTCAGTAGTTAAGAAACAGATAATTATAGAGTTTAGCAATTTTAAATAGGTGATATGTTGCTAGACTTCTCAGAATCTTAAGTAATCAAAGGAGAGTATAGAGATCAATTAATCTAATATATCTACCCACAAAGTGAAAACCAAATTATAGTTCTGGAATATTAAGTGAAAAAAAAATTTCATTAAATCAAGCAAAATACACACCCTTACAACCACACACAGGAGTCATGAAGAGGCAAGATATAAGAGTTAGAAGTCAGATCCAGGTGACCTAACTTAAGAATATTAGTAGTGACAAAAAAGAGAAAAAGTACCTGAATGAAAACATTCAATAATTTTTAAAAATAATAACAGCAAAAAATATTTAAATCTTCAGGTTGAAAAAGATAATGGAATCCTAGAAAGAATTAATGAGAAAACACACATACTTAGGCATAACCTAATAAATTGCCTGAAATCAAAGATAAATGAAAAAAATTATAAATTTACAGATGGAAATAAAAATTAGTCATATTAACTTGGAAGGAACTTCTCAACCACAACACATTTAACTAGAAAAGAGTAAGATAACATCCATAGACTTCTGGGACTAAAAGAGTATAATCAGAAAATGTCCATTTAGTCAGAAATATCATTTAGTATTCAAGGATACTTAAATGCTATTCTGTCTAAGGAAAACTAGCAGTAAAATACTGAACCCAGAGGGATATGAATCAGATGGAGACCTCAAAGCATGAAACCATAAGAATAAAAAAAGCAGCAGTGAATAATAACCCTTGATGGTAATATACTTAAAACCATGTAAAATAAATAGAAATATATGACACAGAACATAACTATTACAAAAGAAAACAGTAGTTGGAATTAAAAATCATGAACTATGTCAACAAAACACAAGGATGCGCCTGCATGGGAGGGAACAGAGTTGAAAGGTGTTATAAATGGACTAAAAACATTTCAGGCTTTCATTTAAGGAGAAAAGTGAAAATGACTGAGAAGGAAATAATTTCAAATCTTGAAAAGGTAAAATTATAAACTCCTGTATGTACAAAACTTTTATGATGCTAAATGGAAAGAATGTTTTTCTGTGCAATAAAACACAACAGATCATAACACTTGTTTCTTTAATCTCAAATTCAAACCAAGTAACCACTAACTGCCACCTCTTTCACAAGGGAAAAATATTGGTTTGACATTCTCAAATATATATTTACAATTTAGTGATAACTGATTGATCTATTACATAAAGGAAATGGCATGGAATAATGAACTATAGTGCTAAAGAGAAACCAGTGAATATTGATATTGCCATTAAGACAACTCATGTTCTTTCAACCATTCTATCCTGGAAAAGTTCTCATTTACTCAAAGCATAATAAAATTAAATCTGAGGAGTTATTTATTTATAAGACCTAGAGCTATAATAAGTAAGCAAAAATGCATTATGAAAATATTTGTGTATACATATTTATTTATATGTATATGTAATATATATATCTACCTATTGATATGTGGAGGAGGGTGTGTGTGTGTGTGTGTGTGTGTGTGTATGTGTGTGTGTGTGTGTGTGAGAGAGAGAGAGACAGAGAGAGAGAGAGAGAGAGAAAATGTGTAAGTGTACAGTGTTATTTTACCTTTAGAGCAGCTGGAAAATCTTTAAAGCTTGTTCCAAAACTCTCCTCACTGTGTTTTAAGGAACTACTCTTATCCTGGTGAGTCTGGGAAATTCTTTCACCTTGAATCTTTGCTGTACCTAAAAAAATAGTAAATACACTTGCTCTATCACTTCATTCTTAATTTTTAATGTTTACTTTTAGGTTTTTTTCATTGTTTTAAATTTTTTATTCTCAAGTTAGTTAACATGCAGTGTAGTCTTGGCTTCAGGAGTAAAACCCAGTACATATAACACCCATTGCTCATTCATACAAGTGTCATCCTTAATGTCCATCACCCATTTACTCCAGCTGCCCCACCCCTATCAACCCTCAGTTTGTGCTCTGTATATAAGAGTCTCTTATAGTTTGCCTCCCTCTCTGTTTTTGTCTTATTTTTCCTTTCCTTCCCCTATGATCATCTGTTAAGTTTCTCAGATTCCACATGAGTAAAATCATGTGATATCTGTCTTTTTCTGACTTATTTTGCTTAGCATAATACCCTCCAGTTCCACCCGTGTTGCTGCAAATGGCAACATTTCATTCTTTTTCATCACGGAGTAGTATTCCATTATACATATATATATATACATACACACATACACACACACATATACACATATATATATACACATATATATACACATACATACATACACACACACACACACACACACACACATATATATACCACATCTTCTTAATCCATTCATCAGTTGATGGACTTTAGGGCTCTTTCCAAACTTTAGCTATTGTTGATAAGGACTACTATAAACATTGGGGTGCATGTGTCCTTTCAAATCAGCATTTTTGTATCCTTTGGATAAATTCCTAGTAGTGAAACTGCTGGGTCATAAGGTAGTTCTATTTTTAATTTTTTGGGGGAACCCCCACACTGTTTTCCAGAGTGGCTGTACCAGTTTGCATTCCCACCAGCAGTGCAAGAGGGTTCTTCTTTCTCCTCATCCTTGCCAATAACTGTTGTTTCTTGCTTTGTCAATTTTAGTCATTCTGACCCATGTGAGATGATCTCTCAGTGTGGTTTTGATTTGTATTTCCTTGATGATGAGTGATGTTAAGCATCTTTTCAGGTGTCTGTTTGCCATCTGGATATCTTCTTTGGAAAATTATTTATTCTCCCTCATTTCTTCACTGGATTATTTGTTTTTTGGGGTGTTGAGTTTGGAAATGCTTATTTTTAAACTGACACACACTTCTATAAGTATATAAAACCATAAGAAGCCAGTTCTTCTGTCAATAAAATTGCACAAATATCAATCTATGTAATTTGTTTTGAGTGCTAGTATTATTACTATTTGTTAAGGAAGTTCAAACCAGTCTAAAAACTAAGACACAATTCTGTTCCAATGACATATTTATCCTCTTTATTTAAAAATATCTCTTAAATTCTTCTTTTCAAATGGTTCTCTTTTTCATACATTATATATTAAACAAAGTATGTTTGAAGTTCTTTTCTTTTAACTCTCTTTAATTCTAATATGTTTTGCAAATGAAGTACCATGTATTACCATGTATTACCATGTTGCCTTGATTTTTAATAATAGTACTGTGAATAAATTTGAGAAAACAGTAAATATATGGAATTATAAGTTGGATGCCCCAGGGTAGAAAAAAATCAGTGAGTCCAGCTACTGCTACTCTGCCAACTTTTCTTTTCTTTTTTAATGTTTTATTTATTTCTAGGAGAGAGAGAGAGAGAGACAGCGTGAGCAGGGGAGGGTCAGAGAGAGAGGGAGTCACAGACTGAAACAGGCTTCAGGCTCTGAGCTGGCAGTCAGCAGAGAGCCCGACGCAAGGCTCGAACCCACGAACCGCGAGATCATGACCTAAGCGAAAGTTGGCCGCTTAACCGACTAAGCCACCCAGGCGCCCATACTCTGCCAACTTTTCTTTTGCCCACTCCCAAAAGCTAATCATCTACCCTTTTACATGTAATAGAAACAACTATTTGATCTTTAGCCTAGAGAAAAATACTTTCACAGATAATTTGAACTATGTAATTATACAGAAGCAAAATTTTACAGAGAAGAGGAATGGATATTCTTTTCTATTTATCTTTTCTTTTTGGACAAACTGTCTAATAATGAAATATGGTGAAAAATGAGTATACTACAGCATTACTTTTATGACAATTGGAAAAAAAGTACTTGTTCTGTCATCAACAAATAACATCAGTGATTTAAGGCAGATTAATTATTGGTTAGTGAATAACTGAATACAAACTAATAGTTTGAAAGATGCTTGTAGCTTGAATATACATAAAGCAAGATTCCACACAACACACAAAAACAAATTTAGTTAAGTATATAGTAAGAAAGTACCCATGTAAAAAAAAAAAAAAAAAAAAAAAAAAAGAAAGTACCCATGTATAGTTTTATTGCTTTTATTAATTGGAAATAAAGGAAAACCATAGGCATTAAGATTGCTAACCAGTATTTCCTAAAGACAGATGTTCAAAAGTTTACATAGTCAGACAACTGAAGTTCTATAAACAATGAATTTTCTAGGGTTCTTATCAATTACACAAAAAGCAACTGTTGGCCTAGAATTGTAATACAACTCTGATTTTAAAGAAAATGATTACCTGGTAAATGTTTTGGGAAGCACAAAAAAGGAATTATCAAAGACCAAGCAAAGAGCCAACACAGAAGAAATCCAATCCACCATGCCCCCAGCCATCGTGGATCATCTTCAGTAATATCTATGCTATATGACAAAAAAACAAAATGTAAAAGTCAACTTTACCTTGTTCATTAAAATTTATTTATGATAATCATATACTTTGTAATTCAGTGCATATATAGGAGAATATTATTATAATTTTAACATTTTAAGTGGAGTCATTGGGATGAATCACACAAGAGAAAGCAGACATAAATAAGAACTATAAAATGGCTTACAAAGTATTTCAAAATGGCAAAATGACATAAAAGTGTCAAGTATTTAATAGTAAATACACGTACACTAAATATCTGAAAGCATACATAGAATTTCTAAATATTCTTTACCTAATTTGGCTAAGTTTTTCTTCTCTACTATACTAAATACATCTTATAGCAAATCACTGATCTGTGTTAAAAGCACATACACTGTGTTTAATTAAGGCATTCACTTAAACATAACATTCTTTTATTTTATTTATTTACTTATTGAGGTATAATTAACATATAATATTATACTAGTTTCAGGTATACAATATAATGTGATAGTACTATCCATTATAAAATGTAAATCTATTTAACATCTGTCACCATAAATAGCTGCAGAAGTGTTTTCTTGTTTTGAGAACTTACAAGTGTTACTGTCTTAGCAACTTTCAAATATTCAGTCCATTAGTTCTAACTATAGTCATCATGTTATATATTACATCCCATGACTTATTTATTTTATAACTGGAAGCTTGTACCTTTTGATTCCTTTTACCTATTTCCCCAACCCCCTACCTATAACGTATAACATATAACATATCCAAATAGTAGTCACAAATTTGTTCCCTGTATTTATGGGCTTATTTTTTGTTTGTTTCTTTGTTTGTGTTTGTTTTGTTTTGTTTTTTAGATTCCACATATATATGAAATCATATAGTACTTGTCTTTCTCTGTCAGACTGTATAAAGTTCTTAAAGGAATTTATTAAGTGTTTTATAACAGTTCCCATAGTTTTAGATCAAGATATTTCTGAGACTCCTGGGTGGCTCAGTCGATTGAAGGTCTAACTCTTGATCTCAGCTCGGCCCTTGATCTCAAAGTCATGAGTTCAAACCCCACATTTAGCTCCATGCTAAGCATGGAGCCTACTTTAAAAAAATCTATATATATAGGTTTCTCTCTCAAACATATCATTACTACCACTCATGTAATTCTCCACTGAAATTTAAAAGCTTTCTTAAAAACCCAGCTTTCTGTTTCAAAGACTTCCTCTGCACCTCTTTTTATGCAGTCTAAAAATTAACTAACAGCTCAAAGCTAACTAACAGCTTAATGGGACTAACAGCTCAAAGAGGAAATCACATATCCATGACCACATTTTCTATTCATTACTCACAATCACAAAAAGGATTGTGCAGTTTTACTTCCTAGTGGTATAATGAGAAAATATGGCCTTCCCAAAGGTTACTAACTTCTCTATATTTCAGAAAAAGAGAAGGTAACTCAGTGGTTAAAAGGGAGAGTTGGGAGTCAAAAGACCTACTTGGATTTATGTCTTAGCCTCTTACCAACCTCTGTTTATCAACTACCTTATAGGATTATTAAGAGAATTAAATGAAGTGGCATGTAAAATAAAGTAACACACAAAACCAATAGAAAACTATAGAAAATAGTATGGGATAAATAAATATTACCTATTACTATGCTCTATGGCCACAGTTGAAACCATACAGTTGCAATTCCTATGACCATATCAAAGCTAGTACAGCACTTAAGTTTGAGAATCATAGACTTTTGAGACTTTTCAGGCTATCTACATCTAGCTAAATATACTAAAAGCACAGTTAATTTTTATTAAATTCTTCTTCCTGAGCAATGCATGAAATCTTAGAGGTGTATTTTGAAAATTTTCACAGATTAAGCACCCTTATTATAAATGCATTATGATAAGGAGTGGTGTAGCATTAATTCATAAAGTGCAGAAAAAGTATTATATAAATAATGTGTGTATTCAGTTTGCTTCCTGAAAAATCCCTCATGCTATCTGAGAAAATACTTTGAAAATGTTCTATGATGTTAACATTACTAAAATAAAATAAAAATGCACGGGCACCTGGGTGGCTCAGTCAGTTAAGCATCCGACTCGGCTCAGGTCATGATCCCGTGGTTTGTGGGTTCGAGCCCCGCGTCGGGCTCTGTGCTGACAGCTAGCTCAGAGCCTAGAGCCTGTTTCAGATTCTGTGTCTCCCTCTCTCTCTGACCCTCCCCTGCTCATGCTGTCTCTCTCTCGGAAATAAATAAAACATTAAAAAATTTCTTATATAAAATAAACATGTAAAAGAAAAAGAGACATTGCCTTGCCTTTGTCCCATTCCCACATCAATGTACATGGTTAGCAGCTGTCCTCCCAACACATAGCCAATAGCAGGGCCTAGTATTGACATAGAATAGCCAATTCCTAAAAGAACAAAGACATTGAAAATGGTCAACTGTACAACTGTGCTTTGAATAGTGAATACTGCTTTGAATAGCTTACAGTAGTGAAGACAAATATTTTACAGTAGAAAAACCATGAAATAATTAGAATTACATCAAAATTATACATATTTTCAGTAAAAAAAAATTTGAATGGTACCACTTGTCAAGTCAGAGGTTAAAAAATATTTTAAAAATAAATAACTATAAAACATATTTTAAATATAAACACTATGTAATTCAATGTATAAATAGACTATAATAATAATTGCAATAAGCCTAACAACTATAAATTCATGGAAAGTTACATAATGTTACTCAATGGCAGAGGTAGTACATCTACTACTACCCTTTGTGGATGGTGATAGTAGTTACTATTTACAATTCTTATGGAAGAAAATAATGTGAAATAAGAAGCCTTTTCTACTCTGTCGACACTCCAAAAGCATCCGTATTTTGCACCAAAGCAGCTGATTTTAAAACCTGGATCTCGTCATTAGTCTGTGTCATACAAGTAAGCCATTAATTTAAACTCCTGCACTTAGTGAATCTTCCACTTTAACTTGCAGCAGAAATAAACGGACCTTATTTCTCTCAGATACTTAAATTTTTGCCATATAGAACATTTAAAGTTTTGTAAAAAATATGCGTATATTAGTATCTTCATATATTACCACCTTCCGAATTTTTTATTAACCACTGAGATTCTTATTCTCATACACAACAGAACAAAATATAACATATCCAAAGCTAAGCATGTGTCAATGGCAAAAATGACTTCTATACTTGACCAAGTCTCCAAAGTAGAGGCCATGCAAGATGACCTGAAAACATATAAGAACTCTGAAGGACTAAAGTTAAGATTCTGAAGAAAGACATCCAAAAAATTGAGACTGACTTTTTTTTTTTTTTTTTTAACATATATTTGTTGATTCTATAAGAGACCCTGGGGGTTAGCTAGTCTCTGGGAAGGAGGGAAACCAAAACTGCAGTTCAGCCCTAACTTGGGAATTAACTTCCTCTACCTTATACTTTATGTTGGCACTTAGGAGGCTATACTCTAATAGTAAAGATGAGTTAGAAGTAGACTTGCTCACAAAGTACAGCTTTGCTTCAAATAAACTCAACTTGTGAAGTCAGATAAAGGGCATCCCAGATTGCAGTGTTCCCAAGTATACCAGAGATTGGAAATTTATTAAAAGACAGAGTGACGTTTGGAAAAAAGTTGTAGAAGTATAAAACATCTTTGTCAAAGTTAAATGAAAGAGGTCCACAACAGATTACTCAAAACTGTAGATTATCAAACTGGAAAATACAATTCAGTCAGTAAATATTTATTGAGAAGCACAAAAAATAAAAACAAAGGATAAAAAATACAGAAAAGGGTAAGAGATGAAGAATACATTTTAAAAAAGGCTTAGCATACATGTAATTGGAGTTGTAGGAGAAGAGATAACAACAGGACAGAGGTTATATTTAAATGAATAATTATAGGAAATACTCTAAAGCCAATGAAAAGTACCAAACAACATATTTATGAAGTCATATAAATCCAAAACAAGTTAAATAAAAGGAATTTGTACCTATACACATCATATCAGTAAAACTGAAGAAAATCATATCAAACAGGAAAATCTTAAAAATGGCAACAATATATAAGAAACATTAGAAGTGAAAAGACAAAGAAACAGTATTTTTAAAGTACTGAAGAAAAAAAAAATCAATGGTCAACTTGTCATCTATTCCCAGTGAAAATATTTATGAGGGAAAAGTGTTAAAAAAATAATTAGAGAGTTCTAGAACCTTTTGGTGATAATCAGGAATGTGATAAAAATATCAATTAACATTGAAATTTCATAAAATCAAGTTTGCATATAAGCTTATTAGTGGATGAATAGTAAAAGAATATACACTCAGGAAGTAGATAAAAAAGAAAGACAATAATAAATACTAAATTATCAAAAAGAAAGTAAAAAGGCCAAAAAACAAGAACAGACAGCAAATAGAAAGCACATGTTAAGATGAAAGATTTAAACACAAAATAACAATAAAAGAATTAAAAAGTTGGAATTAAAGAACAAAGATTGTTAAACCCAAAGAAAACATCAAAGAAATAAAGGGTGAATGGCCTGGAAAAGATTGTGAGGATTGAGATGTTATATTAACTACTTTTTTTAATTCACTCTAAAAGGTAGAAAATTTTGACTCATTTTTTTGCTCCTTTTTGCCTTGTTACGTATAAAATATGTTTCATAGAACATTTTTACTTATATTTATCTACCAATAATAGATACTGTTTTAAAAGAAAGAATGGAGGAAGATTCTGGAAATGGGGAAATAAAGACATAAAAAGCATAAAATAGGAAGGATTTCATGCAACAAAATCTAAATATCTATTAAAAAATACTGGTTATCTGAAATTGTAAAAAATCAGGTATATAAGATACTATAATTAAGTGTTCATGTCTTCCTTAAATGAAAAGATAAAATTAAAATGTATTTTCCAGTTTTGTTACTTTTGTTGTTTTCCTTTGTTCTCAAAAATTACCATTTGATGAATTCCTACAGAATAAGAAAGAGTTAACATAGAAGACCTATGACTGTTAACTTTAGAAAGACCAGTTTTTAAGGCTGGTCCTTGGGTGTCATTTGGGATTTATTTAACTGTCCAGAGGGATGCCATCATTCCCTAACTAACAAGAGGTCCTGCTTCACGGTGCCTATACTGTAAAAACAGTATAGTTTTGCCAACCACATGTATTCCTTTTAAGAGTCTAGAACTTTCATACATGCAAGGCAAAGGGTCCCCATATGGTCAACCCCAAATAAAATCCTTCGGTATTAAATCTCTAATGAACTTAACTGGTAGAAAACATTTTAAACTCCTTGCTGACAGAATTAATTGTGAACTGTATGGCTCCACTAGGAGGAAGCTCAATCTTGGAGGCTTGTACCTGGTTTTTGTCTGTACTTTTCCTTGTGCTGATTTACTTTGGCATCCCTTTGCTGTAAGAAATCATAGCCATGAATATGATTATATGCTAAGTCCAGCAAGTCCTCCCAGAGATTTATCAAATCTGGGACAGTCCTGAGGGCCTCCACTCCAACTACCATGTTTAAATAATTTTTGAAAAACTTCCTAATTTTGTGTGTTACTAAAACATAAAGATTAAAATTGTTTTAAGAGAATTATTGATCAGAAGAGGACTTCAGAAAGGAAATCTGTTATACTGGAAAAGTGAAAAGCATCATTACTAGCTAATTGAAATAAAAGCATTACTATTTAGTAAATGAAAGAGAAGCTCTACAGATCAGCTATAACTTGTAGAGAGAGACAATGAGACTTTGCAAAGAGACCAAGACAAAACAAGTAGAGAAAACAATTAGAAGTGTAGTGGTTTTCATATTACAAAAGAGCCTAAGTAGATGTAGTAGTCTCTATCAGGACTGCTTTGAACATACTTGACTTCCAGTGACTACAGCATTAAGTTCTTGTTATACACTGAATGTTTGTGTCCCCTCAAAATTCCTATGTTGAAACCTAGGATGTAAGTTTCCAGTGGGATGGTAGGAGGTAGGATCTTTGGAACTGATTACATCACCAGAGTGGAGCCTTCACAAATTAGATTAGTGCCCTTCTAAGATGCCCCAGAAAGCCCTTTCTTACCTGTCTGCCATGTGAGGACACAGGAAGATGGCTGTCTATAAACCAGGAAGTGGGCCTCATCAGATACTAAATCTGTGGGTACTCTGATCTTAGACATCCCAGGCTTGAAGGCCATGAGAAATAAATTTTTGTTGTTTAGAAGCCAATCAGTGTATGGTATTCTGTTATAGCAGATTGAAAGAACTAAGGCAGCCCCCTATATTAGATTAATAAACTGATAACAAGAAAACTGATAAAATAAAATGAGAAACACATTAATTTAATGTAAGACCACACATAGCCTAGTAAGCTCTACCTTGCAAGAATATTATGGAAGGAATTTAAGAGAAACTTACGCTACCAAATTTTAGATTCCGTACCTCCCCCAACTCCACCAACCTAGAACTGAGCCGTACATAAAAAGGATTAGTCTGAAATGAAAACACCACAGAGTTCTGGGTACTATCTTATGGTTTCTTCTATTGACTCTAGTCAAGTCCATCCAGGATGTAGTAAATCAAGTAGAATGGCTAACTGAATCTCCCCACCCTGTGTAAATTAACCTGGAATTCAAGTAATCAGGACAGCCTACTGCTTGGATGGCAGTTCTAGCAAGGCTGGCATGCCTGGAACAGGATATAGAGCAGATTTCAACAAAACTCATAACCGCATTCAACTGAAGGATATGTGTCAATAAACAAACAAAAAGAGTAATAACTGCTCTATCTAATATTTAATGGAAATCTAATAGGAATACCTAGGAAATTACAACTTTTGATAAGCATATATTGCGCTTTTACTTATCAATTTAAAAAGCAATAAAATGAAATGATACTGAAACATTTATTTTATAGAGAAAACTTACCTATGTAAAGAGAAGATTTGTGTGTGGGCACAGAATCATCAATAAAAGCTGTTCCCAGGGTATAAAGAGGAGTTCCTCCTGTTCCCAGCAATAGTTGTCCCAAGATGAACACATACAAGTAGTTAGAAAGTGAAGAACTTGAAGAGGTGCAACTGGTTCTATTCCTTGTAGTTGAGCAAGTATCTTTAGGGGAAAAAATTAAATTGTAAATTTACAGAAATTTAGCTAATAATTTAAATATCGGTCTTTATAAATGAGAGTTAACTAAAATAACCTTAATTTCTTTCAATCACTTCACTTTGATTAAATTGTTAAAATACATATATTACTAACGAACATTTATAAAATATTATCGTGTTAAAATATAGAAAATATGGAACAAAATTGAGAAACATTACTTTAACAATCAAAATTCACAAATTTTGGGGTAAGTTAAGGTAAACACAATTGAAGCATGTGGTGCCAGGGAAGGAGTTTTCAGATTAAGGAAAAACAACAACAAAAAAATCCAAAAAAAGCCCTAGCCTTTATTTTTCTTTCCAAGTAATAAATACAGTATGAGCACCATAATGAATTCATCAGTCAATACCTTAAACACATGAGAAAAGTATACTTAGGTTATAGGATATTTTGTTAGAACAGTAATTTCTCAATGTTTATGACAAAGTCATAATATTTGAAGTTCTGCCTTATTCTTTATGGTAGCTCAAACTATTTTATTAATTTATTTTTTCAAAGCAAATTTGGCTCTGGAGAATATTCTTCTGAATATTGTCAAATGAAAAATGCTTATTTTTAAGATTTGATGAAAATCTTTTTAAAAAATCACCCTCGGAGTGCCTGGGTGGCTTAGTCGGTTAAGCGTCCAGCGTCCGACTTTCGCTTAGGTCATGATCTAGCGGTTCATGGGTTCGAGCCCCGCATCGGGCTCTGTGCTGACTGCCAGCTCAGAGCCTGGAGCCTGTTTCAGTCTGTGACTCCCTCTCCCTCTGACCCTCCCCTGCTCTCTTTCTCTCTCTCTCCTAGAAATAAATAAAACATTAAAAAAAAATCACCCTCAAAGACTAGATATTATAGTAAATCTAGTTTTCCTAAACTCATGGAATAATATTAATAAGCAAAGATGCTTATTAAAAATATATTCCGAGCCCAGGACACCTGAATGGTTCAGTCTGTTAAGCATCCAGCTTTTGATTTAGGCTCAGATCATGATCTCACAGTTGTGGGAGCAAACCTTGCATAGGCCTCCCACTTGAGCCTGCTTGGTCTCTCCCTCTCTCTCTGCCCCTTCCCATCATACTCTCTTTCTCCCTCCCTCTCTCTCTCTAAATAACGTTTTAAAAATCTATGTATTACCAGACTTTTCTCTGAGAATCTGGTGTAATATATAGGAATCTACATTTTAAGAATGGCCTTAACTAATTCTATTTTCATTTCCTTAATATCAGATTAAGATTAATTCCTAAATGATGTAAGACACCCCACCTCCCAAAGCACCAATCCTGAAGATTCTTTAACTGGTTCATGGCTATCAAACTTTCAGATGCAAATTATATGTATAAACTATTTGTTTGTTTATTTATTTATTTATATTTGAGAGACAGAACATGCAAAAAAGTGGGGAGAGGAGCAGAGGAAGAGAGAGAGGGAATCTTATGAAGGCTCTATGCTCAGCTTGCAAACTGACCATGGAGCTTGATCCCATAGCTCTGGGATCATGACTCAAGAGTCAGATGTCAACCGATGGAGCCACTCAGATGCCCTTGCATAAAATATTTACTTTTTTAAATTTAAAATATATCTTATAATTTTGTACATATTCAGATTATAAGAGATTGATGAATATTTAGGCAGATAATTTGTATCTATAACTGGACTAAATCTGCATTATTTGTGTTATCTCCCTTACCATGTCAGATATATGAACTGTGATTTCTGGTTTCAATATTCACTTTCCTGGAGCTAGTAATTCAGACTAAGAATAATCTATTATTATTTATTACATTGCAGAATTAAACATACTTACAGGTATTTTTTAATTTATTATTTTTCCCATTTCTTTTTTATGATATATAAACATATTTTTCTAGTAATCTGGTAGGTATTTTGACTATGTGAGTATTCTCTGGGATTTTGGTGTTTGGTTTTTTTCCAGAGGAAGTAATTACATCAAGTTTCAACATGTTTGTTTAAGTAAATTAAATAGCACAGAAGATCAAGAGAAAAACAAAATTCTCCCTTCCCCCTGCCTGCCTCCACTTTATGCTCTTCCCTGTAACTCAGAGGTAATGACCATTGTTAACAGTTCCTTTTATTTGTTTCAGACATTTTCTCACACATTCACATGCTTTATATCCATTTACTTTTTTATACAAGTACGGTCATACTAAACATACTACTGCTATACTCAACAACTTCCAGTTTTCACTTATGTCCTAGTCATCTTTGAAATTTAACTGTATTTAAATTTCTTTGTTGGTACTTTTATAACATTCCACAGCATAAATGTCTTCTAATGTCTTTACGTAATCCACAATTTACACTTAATAATTAATAACATAACATATATCGGGGCACCTGGGTGGCTCATTCAGTTAAGCGTCCAACATCAGCTCAGGTCATGATCTAGCAGTTCTTGAGTTCAAGCTCCACATCATTCTGTCTGCTGTTAGCACAGAGCCTGCTACAGATCCTCTGTCTCCTTCTCTCTCTGCCCTCCCCTGCTCATGCATGCTCTCTCTCTCTCAAAAATAAACATTTTTTTAAAAACCACATATTATTATATTGTACATATATTTAGGTCATTACAAACATGTTGTGGTAAGTATTTTTACCACTTCCTTGGCATATTCATGCAAGCCTATTTGTAGTAGTTTCCAAAAAGTGGAACTGCTAAGTCAAAGTGTATAAATATTTATACTTTGATATTGCCAAACTACCTTATCAAAAATTTAAACAAATATGCAGTCAACACAGCAACACTCTGCATAATAAAATTAAATTACTACCAATCTCATTGGTTAAAAAATATCACATTTTTTTCAATTCAATTTTTAAGGTCATCAATACATTCAAGCATTTTTATTTTATTAGCTACTTATGTATTTTTTCTGTGAATGTTTCAAATTTACTTCATAGGTCCCGATATTTGACTTATAAAAGCCTTTTTTTCTCAAAAGTAACATACAAAGTAACATGATCTTATCCTAACACTTTACAGTTGACTGGTGAACAATGCAGGGGTTGGAACACGAAACCCTGCAGTTAAAAATCCATGTATAACTTGTAACTTCCCAAAACTTTACTAATACCCTGCTTTTGATGAGAATTGTTGCTGATAAACAGTTAATTAACATATATTTTGTATGTTACATGTATTATATACTATATTTTTACAGTAAAGTAAGCTAGAGAAAAGAAAATGTTAAGAAAGTCATAAGGAAGAGAAAATACATCTCCAGGACTGTATTGATTGAAACAAACCTGTATGTATAAGTAGACACACAATTTAAACACGTGGGTTTGCGTTTTTCAATTGTATTTTTAATTCATATGTAATATAGTTTAGTGGGAGAAGACAGGGATGTAGCATTCTGTTGGACTAACCAAAGAGCCTTTTTTATTCAAGACACTCAGTTTTATGTCACTAATCATTGCAGTCTTTCTCTGACTCAAATCATTTGTAATTACTTCAGTATCTAAGCTTTGAGATATCAATATCTCAGCCCAGCTCTGACCCATTTCACAGTACTGCATAAATGTTTAATAGTTAACATCTTCTTTTATCATTTCCCCCCAAATAAACAAGGCAAAAGATCTACTTGTGAATACTACTATATCCAATATACTACTCTACTATTTCTGAATAATTTGTTTCTATTGCTTTTCTTAGAATTGATAAAAAGAAATGACATACGAAGCCACAGAAAGGCATGGATGACTCTGAAGTGCATATTGCTAAGTGAAAGAATCCAGCCTGGGGAGGTGAGATTAAGATGGTGGAGTAGTAAGTGGTTTGCCTCATCCTTCAAACACAGGTAGATAAATATCTAATCATTCTGAACACCCAGGAAACCTGTATGAAGACTGAGACACCAAACTGCACAACTAGAGAGAAAGAAGAGGCTACACTATAGAAGGTGTGGAGGTGTGATTTAGGGTAGAAAAGGATCACGGGTACTAGTGAAGAGAGGGGAGCTTTGATCACGGAGAGAGGAGAGAGACAGAGAGATTGGTGGGGGGTAGGGAAATGGCAGTGTACAGAGGATAGCACAAGAAAAACACTTCCTTAAAAGTATGGACTGATTATTGTGAGTTTTTTCAACCAACAGAGCTCATAAATTGGAGTTTTATAAGTCTTTGCTGTGGTAGTGTGGAGCCCAGCAAGTGCAGATGTGCTCCTGTGGAGGATGGTGGAGGCCTGAGAGTGGATGGTGCAATCTGAGGATCCCCTGGAACACACTGTGAGGACGAAGTTTTTCCTTCTTGAAGAATATCTGGGAGAGGTATCATTACCTCTCAGGGAACAAAAGAGCCAGCAGGCTCCACTGCACTGTCCCATTCCTTAGCATAGGGGAAGAGACATCTGCTAAGGGTGGCAAACTTGGATTCTGGTTTTTTTGCTGTGTTTTAAACTCCATGCCCCTGCCTGTTGGTGTGACTGCACTTCTGGGACAAACTGGCACTCTCCCCAATGCAGCAACCCTCCCTGAGAAGACCATTACAGGTCCACGCCATGCTGGCTCCCTAAAGTTTGGAGTTTTGAAACTCAGTCAGTATACCTGAGATAAAACACAGATGCACTGCACTGCTGGGAAAGCAGACAGCCCAGACACAGACAGGGTGAAAGTAGGGATTTGAGGGAAGCCTGGGAGACATGAAGGGAAAATGTTTGCTCTTCTGTGAAGGCTTCCTGGACAATGGTGGGAGCAAGCTTCCCTCCCCAGGGAGGAAGAAGAGGGTTGGCATCATTTTTTTCACCCACCCATCAGCACGGACTGACTTTATGGAGCACCAACAGTGAAGCCCTCAGCCACTACACCAAGGCCCACACCTCTCCACTCTGCAAGTGCTTCATTACTAGGGCATGTGTGCCTGAGAATAAGAATAGCGGGCTCTTCCCCGCAAAAGACAAGCACAAAACTCCCCCATACACATGCCAAATCAAACCAGAGAGGGCTGCA